CTTTCCTTCATTGTTATCTGGGTGTCCCCCTCTTCGTATCCATTCGAGTGAGTTGACACTGCTTATGGTTTTTTTCTTCCCTTGCTTTTCTTCATTCTCCGGCACCTGTAGCGAGCGATTGCTGGCGTTTTTTTTTAATTTGCTCTCCTCATCCTCTGATACGTTCTCCCCTTTAACTTCAATGTATTTTTTTCTGTGATTTGCGGTCTCTATCTCTGTGGCTTTGCTATTTGCGATTTGTAGGTTGTGCATACCCAATTGATTTCTTTTTTTCATTTTTTACATGAATTTCTCTAGAAAAAATTGTTATGTTGGAAGAAAGTGATTTAGAAGAATCACATTTTGTTTTTCCTGTGAAATTTGGAGAAATTACTGACTCTCTGTCTCAGTTGGGTTGTTCTTTGTGGTTTGCTCTATTTCTCTATTATGTTGCCATTATAGTTTCCTATCAATTTCGGTTGGGTTGCTTCGTATAGCCCATTGAATTTTGATGAAAACCTATGTGAATTATTGTTTGATGAATGCAGAACCTAATTTATGTGTATGATGATTCTATTCAGGTGTGGTTGCCTTTTGTGGTTTGCGGCATCTTTCTATGCTAAATGAATTTTAGGATTGGTTGCACAATGTCTCAGTTGAGATTATTCTCATCACACTTATGATTGTCTTTTGAAGGGAGAAGTGTGTTATGGATGGGGAGAAATTATATAACTAGCTTATGGACATCATTTTATCATATTCATCTGTACTTCTTTTAAAAAATAATATGTTATGAGTAATTAAATTAATAGAAGTAGATATGTTTCTGCTCTCTATCGTGAATTATGTCCAATCTACCTCACATAGAAGGTTCTATTTTTCAATGATCCATTGGTTTTCATAAATAAACTATTGTTTTTAAAAAAAAAGGCTTGTTGAGAGGGATGGTAATATATTCTTATTTAAATTTGATCATTCCATCAAATAATATCATTTTTTTTGAAAGAGAAGTTAACATGTTTATTGGCATTGTATGATGTCTCTAGAGTATTGTACTGCAACTGTGGATTGCAGTGATCAATACATATTTGTAAATAAAAGCATAGCTATGAGAGGAAATTTTACACATATCCAATGAATCAATTAGTAGATGACTGTGATTTTTTCAGATGAGTGGATTAGTTAAGATGTTTTCACCTCAGATAGTGATCAGACATGGAGAGTTTCTTGAAAGAAGAAATTTTCTCATGAAATTGATTGTCTGCATTTCAAATTCAATATCATGAAAATATTAATTATTATTTTATTAGTTTTATTTTTAATTTAACTTCTTGTGTTATTATTTAGTGAAATGTCAATATTTAGGTGTAATTTTAAACTTACAAGTTTTTTTTGGGATTCTAAAATGTAATTTTTGTTTTCTTGCTTGAGTTATTCAACCTAGACTAGACTGGTAATGTTATAAACAATACAACAATAGAGAGACAAAAAAATCTTACAGCTGTTGCACGGTTGTAAAAAAAAAATTGAGTAGCTTCCTAAGACAACTACTACATATTAGTTTTTTAAAAAATTACAGCT